ATATATATATATATATATAAAATACTTCAGTGGGCATGGAAGTCCTTAGAGAGGCTGACAACTCAAAATTGTGTGTTACACTCAGGGCTTCTGGAAGATCTAAATTAGCTCAAAAAACGTGTGAGGAATCTATTAATGGCTTAGGCATGGACAGAAATAGGTGACTATTGAGATTCCTTTGAGAAAGGCTGAATCCACAGACTTTTCCTTCACTTTCCTTCTGCGGTTCTCTGAGGCTGTTGTCAGGAGTGGGGATGATAATAATAGGAGCTAGGGTTCATGATATCCAGAGATCTGCTGGTTGGACTGTTGGCAGGCAGAGGCCTGGGGCCCTCAGGTAGTGTGGGCTGAGAGAGCAAAACTGAGCTCATGAAAGGTCAGTTATCATGAAGAGATCTGGGACTAGGGGTGGAAACCAGGTCAGCCAGACTGGAACCAGGTAGGCACCCCACTCCTGGTACTAGACATGAATACATAGTCATAGCCAGAGAAATCAGGCAGAAGGCCATTTCTAGAACTGAAAGCTATGATTTGGATAGGTTCTCTAGCTTAGAGCTGAGCTAGGGACATACCTCGGGTAGGCTAGCTAAGTAACCTAGCTGCAGGGGTAAAGATACAGTGTAGGCAGCTGAACAGGACATTGCAAGTTCATCTCCCAGAGGGAGAGCTTGCAGACAGAGACCTAGAGTAGTGGGTAGTAAGAATGCTAGCCATGTGATGATGGTGCTGACAGCTAGCCCTCTCCAAGTGCTCCCTGTGGCAGACACTAATCTAAGAAGAGGTAAAGATCACTTCCTTTAATTCCTGCAACCATATCATCCTGCTGTCTATTGGAAGGGATGTGGGGAATGCAGAGGCACACGAGAACAAAAGTAATCTAGCCCTCATACTAAGCACACCCCACCTCCATCTCCATCATTGACAATGTCCCCAGGCGTCCCTACTCCAGCATCCTGGCCTCCCACACCCTGCTGCCTCATGCTTTTGTGGCTTTGCATTCATTTTTCCCTCCTCCTGGGATGCCCTTCACTGGCCAGGACTTCTTCATCTTGTGATGAAATGTGGTCATCACTATATCCTGAGTAACTGTTCTGGGGTCAGGATAGAAGAATTCACTCTCTCCTTGCCCTCCCAGTAATGACCATGTCTGCATCACAGTGACACAAAGACAGATCACTATCTTTCTCCCAGATGGCACCAAGTAGAAAAAGGAGCAAGTTGGGGTCCGCTGCTACTCAGGGTGAACAAATGGTGGGTAGGTGGGGCGTCCTATCCCTGCCTGCCTTCACTGTGGTGTCTCTCTCCTGGTCTCTTGGCAGCCTGGCCTGGGGCTCGTTTACCTGCTGCATGGCGGCCTCTGTCACCACACTCAACTCCTACACCAAGACGGTCATTGAGTTCCGGCACAAGCGCAAGGTCTTTGAGCAAGGCTACCGGGAGGAGCCGACCTTCATAGAGCCTGAGGCCATCAAGTACTTCCGGGAGAGGTCAGTGCACACGTGCCCACCTCTGGCCAGCACTGGGAATCTGACCTCAGTAGCCAAAAAGCCTCATTTAAGACTGGAGTGGGTGGTCTGACCAAGGTGGCCCGAGGACTGTGGGATGGAAAGGGCAGGTTGGGTAAGTCAGTTTGGCAGTTTGGACTTTATTGTGTTGAAATTTCTGCCTAGGGCTTATGGGAACAAATTGTGGGAAACAGAAGGAAGCCAAATTTGAGTGTTAGCTGTTCAGACTCAGGCTGCTTCACTCGTGATCAAAAGGATGAACCAAGGGTTCCTTCCTGGGACATGGAATGGGGCTGGGTGAAAAGGGTCTAGCAATAGGGTTGGTGATGGCCACCAAAGGAGGAAGATGCCTCAAGGTCAGAGACAGAAGGTGACCACCTGAGTCTCTAGAAGTCATCCAGGAATGGTGTGGGGTGTGTGTGCGTGTGTGTGTGTGTGTGTGTGTGTATGTCTGTGTGTCTGTGTGTCTGTGTCTGTGTGTGTGTCTGTGTCTGTGTGTGTCAGAGAGAGAGAGAGAGAGAGAGAATAAATAGGGCTGGATGGCTAGATAGATGAGTGGATGGACAGACGGATGGATGAATGGATAAATGGGTGGATGGATGGATCTGATAGGTGAGTGGTTGGTATCCAGGTAAGTAGGTGAGTGGGTAGATGGCTGGCTGACTGGATGGGTGGATAAATGGCTAGGTGGCTGGACGGATTAGATAGATAAGTGAGCGAGTGGGTAGATAAGGGTATTGATAGGCAGGTACATGGATGGGTAGATAGGTAAGGGATAGATACACAGGTGAATGAGTGAGCGAATGGATGGATGGATAGGTGAGTGGTTGGATGAACAGATAGATGATTGAATGATTGGATAAGTAGGTGGTGGGTGGGTGGATTATGAGGTTGATAGGTAGATAGGCAAATGGGTAGATGAGTTAGATTATAGATTCATGGAGGGAGGAGAGCATGGCAGGAAGTCAGACAGATGGATGGGTAGGCAATGGATGTCAGGATCTTGGATGCTAGAGACTGACTTAGGCAGGACTCTTCCCAGACCACTCTTCTGAAGGCTTGAGGGAAGCAGCCAAAGAACCCTGGGATTTCTGGGCACTCCCTGCAGGGCCTCAGTTCAGGGGTTCTAAGCCCATCTTGCTCTCTTCTGCTGTCCTACTGGCTCCGCCCAAAGATTCACCTGCAGCTAGCTACAAGACCCTCCCCAATCTGGTGCGACCCTACCCTGCTTTTGTTGTGGAATTTCTTCTGGGCTGTGAGGAGCCCTCCCCCCCTTACCACCTCCTTCATGCCTGGCATAGCAGGCCCCACTCAATCACAGCCAGTGCTGCACTGGGAGCTCCAACTGCTTCCCAGGCTTCTCAGCTGATGGCAGCAGAGGCTGGGACTGGGTGCTCTGACTCACATCCTGGCCATACACAGCCCATCCTGCCTGGTATCTCTTACTGAGGGAGCCCAAGAACAGCAGATCTGAGCCTGGGGTCTCCTCTTGGGCTGTTCCTGTTGTCCCTGGTGCTGGGATGGTATCCCTTGCTAAATATACACTCTCCTACACCGTTACGCCTCAGCCCACTGTCCCTTTTCTTGAGAGGAATCCAGCTAGAGCCAGCTATGGTGCCTCACACAGAGCATGGCTGTGTCTTGCCCAGTGTCCCGGCTCCAACACTATGCCCCTGACCTCTCTGTGCAACGAATGCCATTAGCTTCCTTTGACAGATGGAGAAAACTGAGGCTCAGAGATGTGCAGACACCTATTCAAGGTTGTACAGTAATGAGGGAGATGGGCCCATTTTTCAGAGCTGGCGATGTCCCCGGGGATCAGGGCAGTCAGATGGAAAATGTAGGAGCAGCATCAAAACTGGCATCTGCTTGTGTCCACTTAGGTGTGGTGACAGCCTGGCATATCTGTACAGTGCTCATAGACAGCAAGCAAGCAAGAGGGGGAGCTCAAGGCCCCCACTTTTGCAAGTTTTGTGGGGCTCTCAGTGCATGGGCTCAGCTTGATCTGAGAGTCAGCCCTGTTACTGCATGGCTAGAGTGTCCAGCAGGCTGGTGCTGTCAGCAGTGGTGGATGAGACCTGGGGCCTCCCTTCAGGAGAGAGATTGCACTGCTCCGCTCCACACTGCCCCCCAGAGGCTCCTGGCAGAACTGTGTGGGATCACCTGTGGGCATAGGCTTCCTGCTCCTTCCCTCTTTCCCCTCCCTCCTTTCCCTTCTCACTATCCCTGAGAACACCTCCTAGATCAGCCCTGTACCCAAGTCCTGGGGGTACAAGGGTTGGGGGAGGAATGAGTCAAAAGCAAGTCCCTTCAGTGTGTGGAGCTGAGTGGCCCCAGACCCTTCCCTCAGTGTGCAAGGAGGAGTAGAAGGAGGGAGGCATCAGGCTGGGCAGAGAAGAGCTGGGCCTCCTAGGACCTCCAGGGAGTCTGAGCATGTGTACCACACGGAAGACTGACTCCTCTCTGATCATTCCAGACCCTTCTCTGATGCAGTCTTTCCTTTGCCACATCCTGTTTTCTTCCTGTCCCTGTGGTCCTGAGCCTTCCCTTCCCCAGGGCCTTTGCACTTGCTGTGTTCTGCCTGGGGTACTTGGTAATGACTGGCTTCTGCCTCCCTGCTCCCTTTTTTGCATGTGCGCCCCACGTACCTATTCCTCTGTTGATTTTTTGTGCATCTGGTGGGACCCAGCAGATGTTTGCTCATTTGTAGCCTGTGAGTTCCATGACAGATGATTATGGACATCTTGGTCTCCTGAGCCCCTAGGATTGTGCCAGACACCTCATAGGGGCTCCAAAGGTGCTTTTCTGGTGATTTTAGTGATCCAGGGGGGACTTTAGTGCTGTGTTCCTCTTGCTCTGTGTTTAACTTCACCCTCCCACCATCAGCAGACTCAGCATCCAAGGGGGGAGGAAGTGATTCCCAGGGTGGGTCAACAGCTTGTCCTAGGCCAGGCAGTGGTGGCCAGGACTGGAAGGGGCAACACTTAGAGCAGCGGCGAACAACCTAAAGCTCCCGGTGTCCCATTAACACCACCCTGATAGTCATATGCAGAGCCATCCACCCAGGAAAATTGCACCCCAAGCTACTAAGGCGTACCCCGCCCATGCAGCCGCTGCTCGCTGGCCCCAGTTCCCTCAGCCCCCAACTGCTCAAGCCCATGATGAATGCTTGGCAGCATATGTGCAGAATATAACTTTGCACATTCATAACTTAACATTATGCAGAGGTTCATCAAATTTGATTTCCCTTCCCCTCCAAGGAGAACATTTCAGCTCTGCTGCTCTGTTCTATTTCTTCCTTCCTTTTCTACTGCTCATTGCCTGCAAGCAGCTCAGAGCACATGGGTTTGTAGCATGGCTCTTGCAGGGAAGCTCAGAAGCAGGGCTCTAGCCCAACATGACCAGGAACACAGGGAAGAGCACCCTTGGAGAACAGAGGTTGCTATGGTATGATCTGTTCCTCCACAGCTGTGTGACTGGGTGCCAGGCACAGGACCCTTGGTCCTGTATCTTCTGGCACCTGAAGAGTCCAGAGCCCTCAGTGTTTCAGAAAGACTGACATTTGATGCTCCCATGGCATGCTGGGGTCAGTGCCCAGCACATGAAGGTTGTGTGTGTGTGGTGTGTATGTGTGTGTCTGTGTCTGTGTGTCTGTGTGTGTATATCTGTCTGTCTGTCTGTCTGTGAATTCCAGTCCCTTCTGATAATGCCTTTGCTGGACCCCACACTTGGAAATCATCATCTTAGATCAAGACACGAGAGTATTTCAGGTAGATCATTAATAATCCTGTTGTTACAGCTTAGCCCGGCTGGCACCCCCTAAACACCCTAAGGGTAACTCTGTTAATTTCCACAGTGCCTTTAGGAGGTGTAGGTAAAAGTGCTTTCCTCACTCTACACATGCCAAGGCAGGACACAGAGAGGTGAAGTGACTTATCCAAGGTCACACAGCGATTCCATTCCAAGCCACACAGTTACCGTGTCATGTATCTGTAGGCCTGACAATTAATGTGTGGTAGGCAACAGAGTGGCCTGGGCACACGGGGCTTGTGAGGGGTTCTGCGACAGAGGAGTACATAATGTCAGAAGCTGGTGGGTAGATGCTGAATGGGAGGGAGAGACGTCCAGGATGATGGGGGTTATGGGGCTGTACAGGCTCCTGCACCCCCATTCCTGTCATTAGGAGAGGAGTCTGTGCCCTCCTTCATCCTTCCTCTTGAAGCCCCAGGACAAGGTGCTGCCCCGGGAGGGAGGATCTGCTGGGCAGAAGGGCTTGAGCAGTCCTTGCCCCACCCCCACAGCCGTTCTTGTCCTGTTGGAATTTTCTCTGCAGGAGCCCTTGGAAGGAGCCAGGAGCAGTGAGTCAGGTTCTGAATAGTTAGGGGCTTCTGGTGCAGGCTGGCTTGCGAAGAGAGCCTGATCCCCAACAGCTGGGTGTGGTGTGTCCCAGGTCTGTGAAGCATCAGGAATTCATTTGTTCCGCTGTCATTCGCCTGCTGTCCCCAAGGAAGTATCTTAACTGGCCTCCTGGGGGTTTGGGGGAGGGAAAGAGCTGCGGAAGGTAAATGTTTGCAGATAGAGGCTTCCTTGAATACTTAATGCTCAGCTCTGGTTTAACAACTTGTGCAGGAGAATGAGCCCTGTTGGGTCCGACCCTGGAGAGAACTCAGCTGTGTTTAACAAGCACCCCACCTCTCTGTGCGTACAGCAGCCCATGTGGAACAAGGGACCCCAGGGCTGCTCGAGACACCCCCCTCCTTCTGCAGCTCAGGGCATGCATCTCCCCATGATGGAAGCTTGTCCTTGATGTCCAGTCTATGCCCAGCACCTGGAGCCAAGTGGGCTCCCCAATGCGAGTAGTGTTAATAAGAGGCTGTTACCTTCATTGGAAAATAAAGGTGCCCAGGGTTTCTTATAGGAGGTGCCCTTCCAGCTTAGGGCCTGCATTCAAGCCCTGGGTCTTTATAAAACCAGGCTCAGAATTAACTCTGCAAGCCCGCCCTGGTGGCCCAGGCTGTAGTCTGTTACTCCAGTGGGTGAGGCAGGAGAACTGCAAGTCCAAAGCCTGCCTAGACTACAGAGTGACTTCAAGGGCAGCCTGGGAAACTTAGTGAAACTCTCTCACAATTTAAAACAAACAAAAGAAAAAAACCAAAAAGCCAGGCTAGGGGTTACAGCTCAATGCAGAACTCTTGCCTAGCACATACAAGAACCAGGTTCAACTACTAGTACTGAGAAATTAAAAACACATAAATACATAATTGAATAGCAATAAACAGAAATGGTCCTGCATTTCCCAGCTGTGAGTCCCCTGGTCAGTTTCTTCACCTCCGGCAAGTCATGTTTCCTGACTGGGAAGTGGGTGCATGCCTACTTCACAGCTGTGTCGCAAGATGTTGGTGACAGGAGCTGCTAAATTCCTAGCACACAGCCAGAATCCTCTCTTGCTTCCTGCTTGCCTTTAGAGACATGCTCCTCTATAGGCTAACCTAGACTCCCTTCTAAGGCCTGTGGCACACTTCGAGCTGGTGTTCTCTGCCCTGTAACCATCCTGACAGAGGGAAGAGACTCCAAAGAGAGACACTTGTGCCCCTCCCTTCAGATATCAGATTATTGAGACAGTGGACCCCAAGGAGTTGGAAGTTCCCAGGAATCCCGTGCTGGGAGAAGGAAAAGGCTGAACTCTCGTGCCAGCCAGAGGGGGAGCCTGTCTCCTGGAAAGAAATTTCACACTGTGCTGCTAACTTACAGGACAGACCAGACTAGACCAGAGCCCAGACAGTGATGGGTCAGCGATGGGCAGGACCACACTTTGACCAGAACTGCTTAGCTTCACATACCTCTTGGCCTCTATTTAAACCTCACGTCAGAGACCAGGAGATGGACTTAAGGGATGGGAGGCTCACGGTACCTCTGCATTTGCCCCTTTTCCCAATGTGCCCACATTGAATAAATCTCCTTTCTCTACACGTCATGTAGAAACTGTTACAAGCCCCCTCCTCTGAAGCAGATGCTCACTGGGGTCCGAGATGGTTATAAAACAGGATGTTCCGGGAATTCAGACTGGCGTGGGCCTTGCCATTCCTGGGCAGTGAAGGACACCTCTGCCTGCCCAGCTCCCACCCATTTGGGTGATCCTGGAGGGTATGCTGAGCTGGCCCCAGCATCACAATCCCTTCTGCCTGCTGTGGGGATGGAGGGAAGGCTTGTCTCCCATCCACACCACCCACTCCAATCTGGCTCCCAAGCCCTCCTAGCCCCACCCCAGGGGCTCTCAGCAGTTGGTGTGACACAGCCTAGCTTGACTGCTCTGTCCCTGCTCCAGAGCTGCCGCTCTAGTTCTATAGCCCCTCTGCCCACAGAGGGCATTTTCAAGCAAAAACCGGTTGGATCTTGTGGAGGGTAGTTTGGGCCTGGCCAGGGCACAGGCAGCGTGCAGTCATGGGTTGCAAAATGCCTGTCACTCCTACCTCAGTGTGTGTTTTGCTTGCTTAGGGCAGGGCCTCTGGGGTGGTTTGTCTGCCCTCCACAGCTTCAGGCCCAGGAAGGTCTTGGAAAACGAGCTAATGAAAGGGCTGATGATCCTAGGGGACACAAGGGCCCTGATGCTGTGTCTTCTACTGTGGCATCGCTGACATCTCTTGTCATTTGCCACCTTCCCTGGGTCTCTCCCTCCAGCCCCAAGCTTCCAGCCACAGCACTGAATGAGCAGTGACAGGGAGCAGGAGTGTTGGGGCATGTCTGTGCTCTCAGCACTTGGAAAACTGAGGCAGGAGGATTGCGAGTTCCCAAGCTATATAATAAGACACTGGCTCAAAAAAATTCAGAACAACCGACAGAGGGTGGGCAAAAGCCGAGGACTGGGCAGGAACCTGGGTTTTCTCTAAAGGATGTCTGTGTTCTTGTGTGAGAGAGAATGGGTCATGATGGGAAGAAAGGGTGGGATGGACACAGAGTCCAGAGCACTGGGGAGAGTTTGCAGAAGTGAGGTGTCAGGTGGGATGACAGGTCAGGGGCAGAGGGAACAAAGCAGATGTCCAGATGAATGTACAGATGTGGGACTCCTGCAGGGCCCTGTGGGAATGACTGTAGTTGTTTCCGTTTTGGGATGAGGCTGTGCTACAGTAAATTTGAGACAGGTCTGGACTGGCCTTCCCAGGACTCCGGGCATGAACCAATAGGCCCAGTGAGGCCTTAGGGTTGCCCCAACCTCTGGCCCAGGTGTTCAGCCTCTACCCAGCCAGGCATTGTTGGAATAGGAGGGAGCTGGCAGCTGCTCCCCCTCTGTGTTGCTGATTGGCAGCTGCTACCCATTTGGGGTAAGAGGGATCTGTTCGTTTTCAAGAAACTCTTAGGCTGGAGGGTGGATTGGTGGTAGAAGCCCTGGTTCCATTATCAGTATTGCAAAAGGGAAAAGAAAGGTCAGGCACTAAGGGACAAAGGAAGGAAAGAAAAGGAGAGAAGACAAAAGCGAGGCTTGTAACCAGTGGTGAGAAGAACACTTTGACTAGCGGCAGAAGTCGGGAGGCCAGGACTGTATTTGTGCATGGACCTGGCTTTGGATAGAGCTCTGATTAGTTAAGAAAGTTGGGGAGATGACTCAGTGGGTAAAGAGATTGCTGTGCACACATGTGGACCTAAGTTTGGATCCCCAGCATTCACAGGGAAACCCTGGCACCACAGCATGCATCTGTGATTCCAGTCTCAGGAGGCAGAGACCCTGAGCACATTCTAGAGCTCACTGTCCAGCCAGTCTAGCTGAATGGGTGAGACTGTCATAAGGTGGAGAGAGGAAGACACCAGTATCAACTTCTGGCCTGTAGACAGACAGACAGACAGACCACACACACACACACATACACACACATATCCACAGACACACATGCAGACACACAAACATGTACACATGTATACACAGCCTCCCAAAGAAAATAGGATGAAATACACAACTTTAATACCAGCACTTGGGAGGCAGAGGCAGGCAGATCGGCATAACGAGTTCCAGGCCTGTCTCAAAAACAAACAAACAAAAAACAGAATGAAACAAAAGACTCCAGGTTGAATCCCTACTGTTGTTTTGTGGGATGATCACCACTGACGTTTCTATCTGCCTCTCTTGATAATTTTTTGTGCATGTCAGTGCATAACTTTAGAAACAGATCCCTAAGCTCTGCACATCTTTTTGATGACCAGTCAGGGGCACACAGTTATTGCTTATGACTGAGGACCATTTTTACGTGGGGATCGGGGTCTTGCCATACCAATTGTTCTCCAGATGCCTCGGTTTCTTATCACTGTCATCCACCTCAAGGGGTCTGGATAAAGGGAGGTAGGTGGAAAGCCATGTTGAAGAGCATTCCATGAGAGGGGGGACCCTGTCTGCAGCTCTGCCTGTGCTCTCATTCCAGCTTTTGGGTTTTCTTTTTCTTTTTCTTTTCTTTTCTTTCTTTGCAGGATTGAGAAGGGAGATGGGAGTGAGGAAGAAGACTTCCGACTAGCCTGCCGTCACGAGAGATACCCCACCCGTAAGTACTTGCTGCTATGGATACAGGACTGCTGGAGGATCAGGGACCCTTGGGACCAGCCCAGCACTCTTCTCCAAGGATCCATCACAGATAGAAAACTGAAGCATGGGCCCCATCCCTGGCCTTTGAGAGAAATCATGGGGTCTTGAGGATTAGCTGAGGCAGGAATGGGATGATTGGACTGATGTGCTCAGTGGCTTAGAATATGTTCACGTCATCTACCTCACTCTGGCAGACACATTGGTATAAGGATGTAGGGCACCCATGAAGATAAATGTCAGCTCCAGCCATCAAAGGAGGCAGAGCCAGAGTGTCCCTCACTCTCAGAAAAGATGTGAAAGATGGAGGCTGAGGCTGTTGCATCTTAGTGAGCCCACTCGTTTCCTGGCCGACCCCCTTACAGGGGCTTCTCAGGCTTCATCCCCTCCTCCTTTTGACTCCTAACTTAGCCGGTAAGGAAATTAAGCTTCAGAGAGGTGGAGTGACTTGCCTAGGTCCAACAGCCTTGCTAGTCAGTTCTTGTGTGTACTTCTCAGATCTTGTAAGATGCTCCTGTGGCTTCTGTTCATACCTGGATCATGGCGCCTGAAAGTGAAGTGCCAGGGGAGTTGGGTCTAAAGCCCTAGTACCCTTCCCTGGGTGCCTTCCTCACCTGGTTCTCTGTCTCTCATCTGTCTACCCAGCTTCTCTTTATCGTCATCTGTCATTGATCATCTGTCTGCCATCTATCATCAGTTTATCTATCTTCTGTTGTATCCACTATTCTCTCTCTCTCTCTCTCTCTCTCTCTCTCTCTCTCTCTCTCCACACCTTTCTGCAATATGGATTCAGGGTCAGAGGATTTTGCTTGCAGCAGGCAGGCTGGCTTGGAAGCCATTGTAAGGCCAGCATTTTTTATATTGCCGGCTTTCCTGAGGGACGTGATAGTGGTGATAGTGGCCTGAGTGCAGCGACAGAGAGAAGAGTGGATTCGAGAGCTCTTTGGTGGCATTGTCAGGGCAGCTTGATCTGGGCACTCCTAGGAGCAGATCCCTAACACACACACACACACACACACACACACACACCACATATACACGTCACATACCACACACATATCATACATACACACATACATACTACACATATGCCACATATACACCACATATACATACACACACACCACACACATCCCATAGACACAGAGACACCACACACACATGCATCCCATACACACCACACACACATACATCCCATACACACCACATATACATACATACTACACATACCACGTACACATACCTACCACACACACCACACACACATACATACCATACACTACACACATGTCAGTATAAGGATGTAGGGATACACATACACACACCACATGAACATATGTACATGTGCACATACACTCTATACACATCAAACATACACATGTCACACACATGCACATACCACTAAACATGTGCACACACATGTGCAGCTGAAGTACTTTGCTTTACTTGGGGGGGGTCTCAACATCACAAGTTGGAGTGGGGAACGGACTGGAGGAAGTGGTGAATCACATGTTATAGAAGCGGCACGAGGGCAGTTGCACAGGCCCAGAGCTGCTTCAGCTGTGACAGGTGTTCTCCAGGTCATGGGGGACCTACTAGGGTGTGGTGGGTACAGAAAACTCTAGGTCTGGTCAGATGTGGTGGCACACATCTTTAATCCTAGCACTCAAGAGATATAGACAGGTGAATGTCTGTGAGATGGAGGCCAACTTGGTCTACATAGTTAGTTCCAGACCAGCAGGGGCTACATAGTGAGACCCCATCTCAAAAACAAACAAATGAACAACAAGAACAAGAAAAAGCTAAGTGTGGTGGGGGGCATGGCCATCTGCACCCATACTCACACTCGGGAGCTAGGGTAGGGAGGGAGGAGCCTGCGGTCACAGACTTCTGGAGCCATTGAGGGTGTGTGTCCCTGCCAGTGAAGGAGTGTGCTAAGAAACCCCCAGAGGGTTTACATTGTTGAGTCTGGGGGCTGCAGAGGCATCTCAGAGGCAGTGACTGGATGGAGGGAGCTCATAGGTCCACAGGAGGGATGTGAACTGGGTGGCTGGTGCTCAGGGACTATGATGTCCTGGGGAGAAGGGTGGGGTGGGGCAGAGAGCTGAGTAACAAAGTCCTGTGCCCTAAGACTCCAAGGAGCCGAAGTCAGTATAGAAGGCTTTTTCATTCTGGCTTTGCAGGGGACAAAAGAGCCTCAGCTCCCAAGTGCCTCTGCCCTTCATCAGGAGGCAGAGGCAGAGAGAGGGCTGTGCCCCTGAGGCTCCTGGTTGTGCTCCTGGGGGCTTCTGGGGACCCACAAAACTATGGGGGATATCCATGTCAAAATGAGGAAGAAATTGATTTCCCTAAAGAGGCTGCTTCTGTGGTGCATGAAAGTCACTCATTTAGTCAGTCATCTACCTGTTCATCTACTCGTTTTTCTACTCATTCATTCACTCATTCATCCATTCATTCATCCACTCAATAGTTCATCCACTCATTCATTCACAAACTCATAGGATTTTCTGAGCCCCAGGAGCAAGGAGACAAGCTAGAGAGGCTGTGGGACCCCAACAAGTTCCTAGGCCTGTAGGTAGCAAGACCCAAGCTGCTATTGCATGACGTGGTAAAAGCCACAGTGAGGTGTGGAGCCTTATCTAGGGTACTGGGCAGGGGCTACAGAGGGAGACAAGTTCCTCAGACTGTAAGGAAGGACCCTTGTCTGTGGGGTGTAACCAGGCCCCAGGAGCACTAGGCTGTGGATGGGACCTCATGCCTACCTGGAAGGCACTGGGTCTCTGTACTCACTGTCTGAGTCAACTCAGCCCTGTGGCAGACAGGGCAGGGAGGCTAAGCCTGGCTCTGGCCAGGTGTGATGGCACATTCCTATCATCCCTGCACTCAGGAGCTCAAGGCAGGAGGATCATGAGTTCAAGGTCAGCTTGGACTGCACAGTGAAACACTTTGTTTCAGCAATGCAAAATCAAAGTCAGGGCTTATCTGACCAGGCCAGGAAGTAGCAGGCGAGTCTGGGCTCAGCAGCGTGGCTCCTGAGCCCATTCCAGGGTCACTAGGAAGAGCTGTCTGTGTGGACCCATGTCCCAAGCTGGGTCCTGAGGATGGGGGCCCAGGGAGAGCAGAGAGCTGACAACCTAGAGAAGAGGCTGGCCCTCAGCTACTGTGCGGTTTCTGCCGAGAAAATATTTTGGAACTGCCTTGGCGAGTTTTGCAATATTTCTGCATGGAACAGCTGCTCGGATCCTTCAGGGACAGCTTGCCGGCAGGAGGCATGGGGGAGGAGGGTGTCAGGGAGCCCACATTATTAAACACTTACTGTGTGCGGTCTGCAAAGTGCTTGCCTGCTGGCTCTGACGGCTGATCCAGCCCTGAGAAGGAAGACTTACCAGGCAACTTTGCTGAGCACATATCTCACTGTATCCTCTGGGGGATGAAACCCAGCCTGGTGCCTAGATCTTTCTACTCACTACTGGCGCCAGCTCATGCCCCCCAGTCCCCTGAACCCCACCTCCTCGTCTCATTCTCTCAAGCTGTTCCAACGCACAAAACTTTCTCTTCTTAGGACCTAGTACCTCCTGTTCTCTGCCGAGGTGCTCTCCTTCTAAATCTTTGCATGGCTCACTTTGTCTCGCAATCTGTTACCCTACTGCCCTCCTGCTCTGTGTCCTTTTCTTTCCAGGGTCCATCCCTCTCTGAGTTACCATTTTGTTTTGTTTTGTTTTTTATTTTTGTTTTTAGCAGTATAGGCCACAAGATATTAACGAACCATACTAAGTATAACCCAGTGGGGAGTGTGGTCTTGATCACTTTGCCAAATAGCCCAAGTTGATAAAGGTTATGAAAAAGCCCCCCCCCAGATTAGCTTTTGGTAGAGTTATTGTTTGGTTATGCCAAGTAAATAGTTTAGGTTTTCTTGCATCTCTCTGATAAACTACAGGAGAAGAAAAATCTTGTCTATTTTGTTAATGCCTGTCCCCAAGAGCTCGGGACAGTATGTGGCACACGGTCTGTGCTCAGTTGTTGGCTCTGAACCTCTAAGGCCCACCACTTCCAATTGGAACAGCCATTTTGACATAGTTACATAAACTTTTGTATCTCCTATCTGCCCCAAAGTTGCTGTTTTTCGTTGGTCTTCTATAATACAGATTCTGCCACCGTTTTTTGCTCCTGAAGAAAGACTTTGCTTTTGAAATCTGCCTTTGGGGCTTTGCAGCACCACCAGCTAGTTCCAGAGCACATCAGACGTGACATTTGGTGGAGGTGACACTGTGGCAAGGTCTGGGTGTTTGCATCATCCTCTTGGGGCCACTGGGGTTTGCAGCTGAAGGCTTCCGTCAAGTCCAATGCCTGGGACAAACTTTTGATTTGCCAGGTGTGTCTGTGAGTCAGGGCTCCGCAAAAGCCTGTCACTCTCTGGGCACAGAGGTGGCTTCTGGGAGCTCTGTCTAGACGGATCTCAGTCACGGCTGCCCTTAAAACAGCAGAGGGAATTGCAAGGAAGACTTTTTCTGGGCCCAGAGCAACTTGGCATTTTGATTAGATCAAAATCAAATCAATAGAGCACTACTGGAGTCTCTCTTTTATGAAAATGGAAGCAGACAGACCATATTTCTGAAATAAATATTAGGACCAATTTTCTGGGCACAGACAAGCATGCAGCTTGGGGACATCAGAGACCTTGGTATCTGAAGGCCAAAGATCAAAGCTTGAGTTAGCTTGAGTATCACTGGGGGTGGAGAGGAATAAAGGACAATTACCACGCCCTACCCTCAGAGCTATGGGTTTAGCTGGTCTGGAGTAGAGGGGAAGCTGAGGTCCTGCTTTCTTTTTGTTTTGAGGCAGGAACTTACTATGTAGCCCAGGCGACTTCAAACTTGTGGTTCTCCTGCCTCTGCCACCCACGTACTGGGGTGACAGGTATATCGCGCCCAGAATTCCTCTCCCTTCCTTCCTTCCTTCCTTCCTTCCTTCCTTCCTTCCTTCCTTCCTTCCTCCCTCCGTCCCTTCCTTCCTCCCTCCCTCCTCTCTCCTTCACCCCTCACTGTCTCCAGTAACCCACTGCCCCCATCTCTTGCTCACTGATGCCCCTCCCAGCATAATGCTTGATTGATATCCTCAAAATAATTTCAAGATAAACTTTTGAGACAGGGTCTCTCTGTAGCCCCAGCTGGCCTGGAACTTATTATGTAGACCAGACTGGCCTCCACCTCACAAAGATCCACTTGCCCCTGCCTCCAGAGTGCAGGGATTAAAGGCGTGCACCACCTTGCTCAGATAGGATTCTGCTTTATAACAGGCTCTGGGTGATGCTGAGGCCGCTGGTAATAGACATAGGTCTGAACAGCCCGTACCCTCTGAAGCCCTTGCCTGTAGCAAGTCTGGTCACTGGCAGCACTATTCAGCAACTTGTAGGTGGAAATTGCTGCTCCCAGGACCAGTTTTCTCCATCCATCTTCTTGAAACATGAGCCTGACCCCATCTTCCAGCTCCAGAGCCATGCCCCTCCCTACCTGGGACGACAGTGGCAGGCAGCATCCCCAGGGACCGCGTTGGCATCCACTTCTGCCTGTCACTCCCTCTCTCTGACCTTCCTCACTAACTTGCTTATTTCTACCCTCTCCCTACCAGATTGTTGATGTCACCAGCACAAGGACCTCACTGCCATGCCTATGGCGGCAGCGCAGCATCTACACACAGTAGGGCCCTGCATTTCTGAAGGTGACCTAGCTCTTTAGTCTCTGTGAGGCCAGCAGCACTCCATTGTGCAATGAGAACTTGGTCTTGAGGACTCTCCTTTGTCTCTAGTCAGAGGCCTACCCGGCGCTAAGCTAGAACTCTGCCAGTGTTTTTCTTTTCGTCCTATTTTTGGTCCATAGTAATGGTACCCACATGATGCCTGTTGCTAAGAAAACATTTGGGGACACTTATTAAAGTGAGTGCTGCAGGGCAGGGTGGCCCATACCTGTCATCCTAGCACAGCTGAGGCAGGAGGATTGCAAATTTGAGGCCAGTCTGAGTGACCTTGTCTCAAAACCAACAAACTATACATTTCCAAGAGCCCTGTGCCTGGGTTGGGGCATCCAGGAATCTGTGCTGGTGAAGTTTGATGTCAGAGCAGACTCTTAAGCCCTAGGGATGGGATTTGGGCCTCTGTACCTGCACTGCCCTGTCCCTCTGCAGCCACAAGCCCTGTTTCCAGCCTTGTGTTTCTTGTCATCCCTCCATGACAACATTCCTGGGCATTCACACCTCTTAAAAGCCTCCAAGGTCTGCCAAGAATCTGTTTCACACCTGTTCCTTCTGCCTGAAATGACCTGACCCTGCCTTGCACTGGGCAGTAAACAAACTGCAATAGAATTGGAGCTTTGGTGAGCACTTGTGCAGTCCAGCTGCCGTGTATGGCTGCCACCACCTGGGAACCTAGGGGCTAAGGACTGCGCATATCTCCACAGGTCACCAAGCCTGTGCTGTGAGGATGAAACAGAAGGTATACTAGGTTTTCATTTTTGTGAGAAAACACTCAACAGAAACAGCCTGAGGGAGGAAGGGTTGATGTTGGTTAGTGATTTCAGAGGGTTTGGGCCATGCTTGGTCCCACCACTGTGGGCCTGGGTAAGGCAGAGCATCATGGTGAACTGGAAATGGGGGTTTGGGGTGGGGGAGCTGCTTAACTCTTGATGACCAGAAAGCAGAAATGGTAAGGGATCAGGGCCGAGAAGCCCTTCAAAGGTACACTCCAGTGACCCACTTCCTTCAATCAGGCTCCACCTTCCCCAGGTCCATAAGCTCCCAATAGTCCATTCAGGTTTCATTAATGAATTAGCTGGATCCATTAGGTCAGAGCCCTGGTGATCTAATCACCTCAGAAATGACCTCATAGTTACCCTGATCTAGGTACCTCTCAATCCAGCAAGATAAACTACTGGATCTCACAGTGGTTGTGAGCCCAGACTTTCAGGTGAGACTTCCAGGTTCTAATCCCAGTGCTGACACTGTGGACAAATGGCTTCACCCAGGCAGGCCTCAGTTCCCACAACTGTGAGTAGAAGCAGTAGTGGAACCTGCCTTCAGTTGGCAGATGAAATGAGCTGGTTCCAGGTCACAGCAATAAGCTGAGGTAGGGCTGTTCTCATCCCTCACAGGTGTCCCTGACTCCTTCTGGGCCTAAAGTGCAGGGTGGTGGCCCCCAGGTCAAACGCAGCAGCCTGTATGACAGCCCTCAGTCTGTTTAATAAGGGACCTGAGAAACCAGTGACTCTGGGGAGGATGTGCAGGTTGAGCAGACCCAGCCTGTTCCTAAGTGTGAAAACCAGACTAACGGAAGGTCATGGCTGAAAGGCACCCGATCTTTGGCAGAGAAGGATAAACCCACCCTCAAAGAACAGCCTGCCCACCACAGACAAGACCAGGTGCCCTTCCTCCTACGTGGGTCATCACAAGCCTGCTCGTGGTCCCCAGCCGACATCACTTATTCACTCAACAGATGTATTCCATCAGCAGTGGAGCCTGGCCCTGGGAGGCTGCTGCGGATGCCAGAAAAGCTGATCTCTATTCCCGTGTACAGTCTAAAAGGAGAGACTCTGAAGAAATAGGGACATCTATTTCCAATATGAGGGTACCACTGAAGCCCCTCATGGTAGAGGTGTGTAGAGAGGCAGTCAGGGGCCGTGCTGAAGTAGGGACATTTGGACCATGAAGGTGTCTTTAGCTGTTGGGTCCCCAAAGCCAGGTGCCTCCAGCACCAGCTTTAATTCATTTCCCCATCACACCTACATACCCTCTATCTGTCTGTCTGTCCACCTGTCTATCCATCCTTCCATCCATCTATCTATCTTAATCTCTTTCCTTCAACAGGGTCTGATGTAGCCCAGGCTGGCCTCAAACTCTCAGTGTAGCCAAGAATAGCTTCTCCTGTTTCTTCCTCTTGAGAGCTTGAATTACAGACATGCGTCACCATGCCCAGGTTTTGAGGTGCTGGGAACTGAACTCAGTAAGCACTCTGCCAACTAAGCTAAATCCTTAGCCCTATTGTGGGCAGGGGTCAATGCAAAGTGCTGGAGGCTCTAGATGGGCCCTGAGTCCTGGGGGGTGGTCAGCCCCTTGGACAGCTGGTGGTATATTCCCCCACCCCCAGGAACTGCCTTGTCTTCCACCAGGCTGGGTGACCGTGGGATCCACAAAACCAGCCTGCCTATCCATGGGGCCTCCCTCCCTCCCTCCACCAGTTACAAAGTGACCATGGGCAAGTCAGTTCCCTGCTGAGTGCCTCAGTCTCCCCATCTGCACATCCATGGCTACACTGACAGTCTTGAAGAGCGTGCCATCCCAATGAGTCCCATTTTGGAACAGAGGGGTGACTCTGACTTCAACTCCTTAAAGCAGAGCCTAGAGCAGACCTTTGGATCCCCAAACCGTCCAGAAAGATGGAGACAGGGAGGTCCCAGAAGGTCACATGTCACATGCATCCATTTTTTATACTAATTGCAATGAAAAAAAGGCTGGATGTGGTGGCACCAACATGTAACTCAGTAGTCAAGAGACTGAGGCAGCTGAGGCTAGCCTGGGCTACATTGAGAGACCCTGTCTCAAAAAAATGACAACAAAGACAATAAAAAGGAATGAGAAATCACATCTTTCTAGACCTTTCTATGTTAGAGACTCTTGCTAAGCTTGAGGTGGGGGCAGAGTCTTAGGGGAATTTAAAACTATCTGCTACCAACCCTCCAAGTGAGGCCCCAAGCCAATTTCTTTGCACCTACAAACCATAGTTTCCCATCTGGGGAACTGCCATTGAGCACTGGCATTTGTTATTCCCACACCTGACCAGTGTCTGAGGTCTGCTGCTGAAGGGCTTCTGTGCAGGGGCCCAGACCCAAAGAGGTGAAGCTACCTGTCAGGATTACATGGCTTTGAAAATGTTCATGGGTCTGGAGGCTGGTGAAGTGCTTGCCACATAAGCATGAGACCTGGGTTGATTCCCCAGGACCCACATAAAGAGGCCAGGTGTACAGCCAGGTGTGGTGGAGCACACCTTTAATCCTAGCACTTGGGAGGCAGAGGCAAGTGGATCTCTGTGAAACTGAGGCCAGCCTGGTCTACATAGCACGTCCAAGGTCAGCTACAGGGAGACCATGTGTCAAAAAGAGCAAATTAATTAATTTTAAAATAGAAAAGTGAAACCAAATATATTCATAGCTGGGGCTTGGGGAGACCTTGTTTCAAAACCAACCAGGTGAACAAAAAAAGCCAGATGTGGTGGTGTGAGCTTGTAGAACCAGCACTTTGGAGACAGGGACAGGAGGATCCCTGGGGCTCTCTGGCCACCAGCCTAGAATTGGTGAGTGCCAGGTTCAGTGAGAGCCCTTGTCTCAAAAAATAAAATGGAGAGTGAAGAAGGTATTGGTTGTCCAACTCTGGTCTCCACACACATGCATGTACATGCATCCACACATTAACATGTATGCACACACACTCATATAGCTTGTGGCTGATGGAGCATGGATTTGAACATTGAACTGTTAGACTGAAGTATAGTGTTACTCCTTAGTCTTCGCCCCAGTAGGAGGGGCTAGGCAGGGAGGAGTGCGCCCCCATGCTCATGAGCCCACATCCTCCTCTTCTGAGTTTTTTTCATTTCCTAAGAAAATGTCATCTCAGGATTTGCTTGGGCCAGGCAGAGGCCTGGGTTGTGGGCTCTCACCCCTGCCTACAGACACCCCCAGTTAACTTGTACTTAAGGGTGGGAGTGGGAAATGGAATCAGGGAGAGGCCTTCACTCAGCGGCCCTGTATGTTTCCCAGAGGAGAGTACAAAAACCGGGAGCTGGGAAGCAGGATACAGTGACCAGAGGTGCACACCAAGAGGGCATTCCCAGCCAGGGGACAGCTTGTGTAAGACCTCGAGACAGAGCCAGCTGGCATGAGTGGCCTCCCTTGGGCCAAGTCAGGCTTTGTGGCCCATTGCTGAAATGATGTTATTGCTGAAAAAAAA